AGACCATCTACGAGGGTGAGTAGAAAAGTAAGGTCTCCTTTTTTTTTTTTCATAGGAAAACACATTTAATCACAACTTATTATACATCATTGGAAAGGTTGGACACTTTGCTCTTTTTCTACATAGTCGCCTTGATGCTCAATCACTTTTTTCATCCTGTCAACCAACTTTGTAATTCCGGTGTTGTACCACTCTCCCGCCGCCTCTTTGAGCCACTTGTCGACCTCTTCTTTCACCTCGTCGTCTGACGCAAACTTCTGTCCCCCAAGGTGTTTTTTGAGAAGTGGCTGCAATCTTCATTCAGGCCATCCTCGATCTCTTCAAGGGTTATCCGCCGGTTTGCGCGCACCATTTCGTCGATTCAAGCCACGGTTGATTCCGGCAAACTCGGCCGCCCAGACCGCTGTTCATCGTGGACATTTATCCGCCCCTCGTTAAACTCCCGGCACCATTTCCGCACATTTTTGATGTCCATGCACTTCTCACCATAAATTTCCACTAAGTGACGGTGAATTTCGACCGGAGAATTATACGACGAGGTGAAAGAAGAGGTCGAAAGTGGCTCAAAGAGGCGGCGGGAGAGTGGTACAACACCGGAATTACAAAGTTGGTTGACAGGATGAAAAAAGTGATTGAGCATCAAGGCGACTATGTAGAAAAATAACAAAGTGTCCAACCTTTCCAATGATGTATAAAAAGTTGTGATTAAATGTGTTTTTCTATGAAAAAAAAAAATAGGAGACCTTACTTTTCTACTCACCCTCGTACATCCAATGATTTTCACAAGTGAATCCAAAACCTTTCCGAATTGCACCAAATGTCAGGATTCTTCAGCGAGCCCAGAACACATCATGCAATGCATCGGGCATTGCCGAACAGACATCTACACCGACCCAGCTGTGGTCATTGATAAAGATAGAGGCCTTCAGGATCTGGTCTAGACTTGAAGTCCAGACCTGGGACAAGAAAAAAAAAATAAATAAAAAATAATTAACAAAAAGTTCTAAATCAACCTAAGCTAAGCTAACCTAACCAATCTGAACCTGACCTAACCTAGCATATTGATATACTCAACAGCACCTTGCCACCAGTGGTTCATTGTAATTAGCATCTACGCAATATATATATTGTAGTAAAAGGTACAATGTTGTTGTTGCTTCTTATCCCCTCGTGCAAATATTACAGGAATTCCATCCATAAGTCCATGCATGCTCCTCGAGCTGTACTTTGTAACAATAATGAAACATAGGCTAAGTTAAAAATGTAGGAGAGGGTAAAACTTGTCTAAAATAGGTTTTAAATATGGTTTAGAAGCTACAAGAGTTTCAAGTTTCCAAAATATATTTATTATCACCAGATTTTTTGACCATTTCTGAACTTTAGGAATAATTTGTCATATAACCATTTAAATGGGTATTTGATTTAAATAATTTATCTAAAACATATTATGAAAGAAAAATTTTAATTGTACCATATTTGGTATTGTCTATAAGGCGATTTTCAAGGACACAATTCTTTGTCATTAAATTTTATTATACTTGGGAATTAATTAAAAGCCTCCAATATTTAAATATTTTTGGCTGAGATTTATATTTCATTAATATTGTGCAGAAGCCATTAAGAAAAATCTTTAAAATTACCAGAAAATATAACTATTTCATAAGATCCTATTTTTAACTATTCCGAAACGAGTATATCTAGAGACCATTTAAAAATCATTTTACAGGTTAATTAAATTAAAATACAGTTTCTGAGAACTTTAGTTTTTTGTTGGGTTTAGCGTAAATAATATATATATACACACACACACACATTTTAAATGTCACTCATCGTTGGTCTTTGAGGCATCCGTTTTAGTGGAGTTGGGTAAATAAATATAAAAATTTACTCTACCTTAGTATGCAAACATATAAGTAAAAGCATTTTAAATAAATTAAATTTAATATTTAAAAATCATTAGAGCAAATAAGCTCCAAAACGAATCGGACGGATGTAGGTTCTATAAATAAGGAGTTTAAAAAGAAAGAAAAATAAATAAACAAATAAAAATGACGCTTAAGAAAAAAATGAACTGGTGTGGCAAAATGCTGACTAGATTTTTTTTTATTAGTCCGTTATATTTTCTATTTTTACAATGTCAAGTAGCTAATATATATGTTTTTAACTTTTAATTAGACATTTCAAATTTATATTTAGACATTTTTCATTTTAATTTAGACACATGGACTTTATATATATATATATATATAATCTTTTTTTTAAGACACTTTAAAACACAACTATGACAACACTAAATATACTATTAAAATGTCTAATTAAAGTTAAAGACTTATAATTAAAATTAGGTTATTCACCATGTTTTTCTTATATTGGTACTGAAAAATACTATGGAAATATAAAAAACAATGAGCATTATTTAGAAAAGATGTTTTTTAATCATTTGAAAGTGAAATCATAGGCGATATATATTTTTTTTAAATACAGTTTTAAAAAAAGCTTTAATTAAAGTCCACTAAAAAAGAAAAAAAAATTAATATTTTAGCTTGTTGGATAACTGAATGCTACGACAGCTAGCGCCACACTGGACCTATCATCATCACAACTGTTTTGTTTACCTTCTTCTCTATATATTACAATAACTGTTCGCTACCATAACTTTGTCTTTTCTTGCTAAATGGATAATAAAGATTATTATCATATAATCCTCAACATCCTCATGCCTTCCTACAAGCTGTAAGTACTTAAATCTTACAACAATTAGATTATGAGACTGAGTATTGCATGAAATTCAACTAACGAGTTAAGACAAAGAAAAAAGGCTTAGCAAAAATGGCGTCACTCCCGAGCCACGATGTAACCCTAAATAAGCTCGACGGCTATAACTACTCACTATGGTCTTTCAAAATTGAAATGCTCTTGCAAAAGGAAGATCTTTGGGAAGTTGTCACCGAAAATATTCCAGATGAACCTAAAATCGAATGGAAAAAGAAAGACTCAAAAGCTAGAGCTATCATTAATCTAAGCATCGCCGACTCACAAATAGTGCATGTCAAAAACCTACTAACAGCCAAAGCTACCTGGGACACTCTTAAAAATATCTATGAAAGAAAAACACTCTCAGGAAAAATTTATTTGCTAAGGAAACTATACAGCTTAAAACTCGAAGAAGACAAAGACATGCAACAGCATATCACTACCATGATGGAACTTGTTGACAAACTGCGAACCATTGGCGAAACACTAAAGGACTCTCACATCACGGCTATACTGCTTTGCTCGCTTCCAAAGAGCTACTCCAATCTCATCACGATGTTGGAATCAAGGCCTGATGACGAGCTAACGCTTGAATTCACCAAGAACAAACTCCTTGATGAACACACACGCAGAGTAGAAAGCTCGAAAGACGAAAGCACCGAATCAAAAGCCTTAAAAAGCCTCCACGGAGCTTCAAGCCAAAGAAGAGAAAAAGAGAAGAAATTCTGTTCTTTCTGCCACAAACCAAACCACTCCAAGGAAGAATGTTGGCACTATCAAAAGCGAAACAACAGCAACAAAGAGTACAAATATGAAAACTTCAGAAGAGGAAACGTACCAAAGTACACAAATCAGTCGAGTGTCACCCAAGAACAACCAACAAATCAGAGAACAACAAAAGGACCTAACCCAAAAGCTCTCAATTGCACTCAACGAGAAGCAAGTGTACACAACTGGTTCGTCGACTCTGGAGCCACATCTCATATGGCGTACGATGAAAGCTTCTTCACTGAACTTGACAGAGAACAAACACAAAATGTTGTGGTTGCTAATGGCAATAAGCTGCAGGTCAAAGGGATAGGACAAGGAGAAATAAAAGTCATCACACCCCAAGGAAAGACTGACACCTTACTTCTCACAAAAGTTCTCTACATCCCGGAACTAACAGACAACCTTCTGTCAGTGAGTGCGGCCACCTCCAACGGATGTAAAGTAACGTTCAACAGAGATTGGTGTACCATCGAAAGAGACAACACAGCCCTCGCGAACGGTATACTTGACAATGGAATGTACCGACTCCACCTGGATGACAACCCCCAAACTCGCACATTCAAAGCAAATGTTGCAAAACAAAACCACTGCAAGAACAAAAATTGCCTCATGCTCTGGCACGACAGACTAGGACACAGAAATATAGAATCAATTAAGAAGATTCGAAATGAGAACCTAGCAAGAGGACTAAGTCTAAATAACTGTTCGCACAGCACAGACTGCGTTCAGTGCATTCAAGGAAAACTCACCGAAACCCCATTTCCAAAGAAGACAGAGTACAGAGCAACTGAAACGCTTCAACTTGTCCACAGTGATATCTGCGGTCCATTACCAACTAACTCTCTCAGCGGTAAGAGATACTTCATCACCTTCACTGATGACTACAGCAGATACACGAAGATCTACCTCCTGAAAGGAAAAGACGAAGCCTATGAAAAAATAAAAGACTACGTCATCTCAGCACACACGGAATTTGGAAAAAATATCCAAACCATACGGACAGACAACGGTCGTGAGTACGTAAACCGACAAGTCGAAGATTTCCTGAACCAAAGCGGAATCAAACATCAGCTAACAGTCCCCTACTCACCAGCCCAGAACGGAGTAGCAGAAAGGAAAAATCGATCACTAATGGAGATGACAAGATGCATGCTGTTTGACTCAGGACTCCCACAGTCTCTATGGGCGGAAGCGGTTACCACAGCTAATTACCTACACAACCGAATACCCTCGAAAGCTACAGACAAGACTCCATTTGAACTATGGACTAACAGGAAGCCCAGTCTGAAGCATCTAAAAAGATTCGGATGTAAAGCCTTCGCCTATATTCCCAAGATAAAAAGAAACAAGTTGGATAGCAAAGTTATCGAAGGGATCTTTCTTGGATACAATGATCGAAGCAAAGGATACAGAATCCTGCACGATACAGACAACATCACAATCAGCAGATCCGTAAAATTTATAGAAAAAGAAAATGGGTTTCACCTCGCTTCCACAAAAACAACTTCACCACAAGTACTAAGTACAGATCTAACTTCCTCTTATCATATTGGAAATGCAGAGGAAAGTCAGGAACCAGGAACACAATCCGAAAACCTTGAGGACTCGGAAACCGAGGATTACATTCAACCCGGTACAAGCACAGGAACACAAGTGGTCACACAAAGAAGATCCACGAGACCAACAAAGGGAATACCTCCCATAAGAAATGACTACATGCTGTACAAAACTGAAGCTCAAGACATTCAGGCACCAATTGTGAAGCATTCTACAATTAGAGCCTTCCTAGCCGCATCAGTCTACAAAGGGATGCAAGTGATCCACCTCGATGTCAAGACAGCGTTCCTACACGGCGACCTAGATAAAGAACTCTACATGGAACTCCCAGAAGGACTCCATACAAAACAAACAAACGAAGTCTGCAAACTAAAAAAGGCTATTTACGGTCTAAAACAAGCTGGAAGATCTTGGAACACAAAAGTTGCAAGCACTCTAATTAAAAATAACTTCAAACAGAGCATTGTAGACCCATGCCTATTCACCAAGAATGAAGAAAACCATTCCATCTACTTGATTCTATATGTGGATGACATGCTGCTTGCAAGCGATTCCGAAATAATCATCCAAAACACTGTAAAAACCCTCGAAAAAGAATTCGAAATAAAGAACCTTGGAGACCCCACTCAATTCATTGGTATAGAAATCTCAAGGAACAGAGAAGGTGAACTCCTTCTGAGCCAAAAGAATAAAATCCAAGAATTAGTTGAAAGGTACAATCTCCAAGAAGCGAAACCTACTTTCACTCCCATGGAAAGCGGATACCCCGGTATATCTGATGAAAAACTTCTACCAAACAACGTCCAATACCAACAACTGATAGGCTTACTATTGTACCTAAGCGTAGTATCCAGACCAGATATCGCAGCTCCAGTCTGCATACTCAGCAGCAGAAACCAGAATCCTAGAAATTGTGACTGGAATGCAGCAAAAAGAATCGTAAGATATCTAAAAACTACTAAAGAACTCGAGCTACGCATATCTAACCAAAAACCTCCCACGCTGGAAGCATACAGTGATGCCACATGGGCAAGCGACAACACCGACAGAAAATCACTAAGCGGAAACTTGTTCCTACTGGGTTCAAACCCCATCTCATGGATGACTGGGAAACAAGGTTGCGTATCTCTCTCATCCACCGAAGCGGAACTTATCTCCGCAGCTGAAGCCTCACAAGAACTGTTATGGCTTCTCGACTTGCTAAAGGATCTCGAACTGGAACAGAAAGCTCCAATCTACTTCCACCAAGACAATCAATCATGTCTCAAGATATGTTCATCCGAAAAAGTGTCTTCTAGAACCAAGCACATCGCAACCAAGATCCATCACCTGAAGGATCTTCAGAAGAAGACAGTGATAAAAATGGTCTACTGCCCAACTGGCGACATGAAGGCGGACATTCTGACCAAGCCGCTACCAAGGCCGACATTTGAGAAGTTACGCTACAACCTCGTGATGTCTCCACATTCATGCCGGGGATTTGTTGGATAACTGAATGCTACGACAGCTAGCGCCACACTGGACCTATCATCATCACAACTGTTTTGTTTACCTTCTTCTCTATATATTACAATAACTGTTCGCTACCATAACTTTGTCTTTTCTTGCTAAATGGATAATAAAGATTATTATCATATAATCCTCAACGTCCTCATGCCTTCCTACAAGCTGTAAGTACTTAAATCTTACAACATAGCTTCTGCCATTGTGTGAGCAATTAGGTTTATATGAGTAAAATAAAAGCGGCGGGGGACGAGCATCGTGAATTTCGATATCAATGTGATTAATTATTAAACAACGAATTAGTGAGCTTTTTTAAAAAAAATATTTACTCAATTTTCAACCTTTCCCTCAATACTTGAACGTACCCCCGTCGCCTTTATTTTACTCATATAAATTTAATTGCTCAATGGCAGTTGATAAAATATTCATTTTTCCCTCTTTAGTGCATTTTAATACAATATTTTTTAAAACGGCATATTTTCAATTATTATTATTTATCAAAATTCGAAATTATTTTAAAGGAGTAAGATTCTTTTTGAAAATAAACAATTTCTCTACTGCTCTTACTGCAATGGAAAAATTAATGGGAGGGCCTGGCTCATCAGTGGTGAACCCTCCCAGCGGTTTCGCCAGTTTAATCTACCATACCGCTGTTATATTGCATTTTTGGTGTTGAATTATCTCCCTCCGCTGTAAGCTTTTGGAACAAGCTTTTTCGGAGAACAAACACCGGACAACACAAGGCAAACGGGCCGCAGCATCTGGAAGTGCGCGCCGTTTGTGAGGGAACCAAGGCAGCACCAAGCACACCTAAGGCTCCGCAGGCTTCAAAAATAAGGGATCATTAGAGATCAAGATCAGGAGATCAAGACCCAGAGATCAAAAGGTCTGGCTTTTATCATTAGCGAGCCCCGTTGGGACTATATTGCATTTTGGGTAACAATATTGTTCCGCCTTCTACATGCTATCAGGTAAGCATTCTAAGGCTCTATTGCATTTTGGGAACTTCCTTTTATAGTGATACTGTTGTTAGACTCTTGGAACGGGTATTTTAGAAGAACTATGGACATAAGCTTTGAGGACAGTAGAGTTACATACATTTATAAATATTAGATAATAAAAGGCATATATTGGATTTGAAAAAATATTTATTTTGCCAATATTTCGGCTGGCTGAACGCCAACCTTTATCGAGGCATTACATTTTTGTATACACAAACTCAGCGCCGCATAGTGTTATAATATCACAGTTGAAATCAATTAAAATATTTTAATAGATACATACATTTTTTACATTTATCTCTTTATGAGTTATTAATGAATTATTTTTATGTACTTATTGTTGAATATATGAATTCAATTTTAGACTTTAATATTTTATATAATATTGTCACTGAATAATTATTTTAAATATTCTGTGGTATATCATCATTATAATATTTCCATAGTTATCACTCCTCACGATTCTTATATATTATTACTTGAATATAAATGGTAAGATATAGTTTTGCATAAATAAACTATTTTCAATTACTAAAATCGTATGTATTAATTTATAAAATAATATAAAACCCTAAAACCTTTCTAACAGTGGTAGCAGAGCGTGGTTAAAACTTAAAATCTAAAATCGTAAAAATAAAAATGGCTGCTGTTATGGAAGATATTTCGATTATAGATAAATTAAAAGACTCTGAAAATTTTGATATTTGGAAATTTCAAATTAACATTATTTTTAAAGCTAATAATTTAATTGAAACAATAAATGGCAAATTGTGTTTTAAAGATCAAAAGGATGAAAAAGAAAAAAACGCATGGATAATAAAAGATGCTAAAGTCCAAAAATATATTATTTCGAGCATCGATAAAACGATATTAACACACATAATACACTGTGAAAATGCCAAATCAATGTATGACACCATATGCAGAATATTTGAAAGAGATGATGAACAATTAAAATGTAAGCTGCTAAAAGAATTTCACACTTATAAATTTGATAAAAATGTAGACCTTGTAGCCAACATAAGTAATTTAAGAAATTTGGCTTTTAAACTCAATAATCTAAAACAGAACTTTGATGACAATATTGTTATTTCAAAGATTTTAACAATTTTGCCAGAAGAATATAATTATTTTTGTACTGCTTGGGAGTCAACTGGAAAAGATGAAAAAACTATTGAAAATCTAATATCAAGATTGACCACTGAAGAAATAAGAAGAAACAGACAGAGCCAACCAGAAGACCGAGTGGCTATGAATGCAACAAAACAAAAGGTATGTTTTACTTGTAATAAACCAGGACATATATCTAAAAATTGCACCCAAAGAAAATTCTGCAAATTTTGTAAAAAAAACTAACCATGAAGAAAAGAGATGATGAACAATTAAAATGTAAGCTGCTAAAAGAATTTCACACTTATAAATTTGATAAAAATGTAGACCTTGTAGCCAACATAAGTAATTTAAGAAATTTGGCTTTTAAACTCAATAATCTAAAACAGAACTTTGATGACAATATTGTTATTTCAAAGATTTTAACAATTTTGCCAGAAGAATATAATTATTTTTGTACTGCTTGGGAGTCAACTGGAAAAGATGAAAAAACTATTGAAAATCTAATATCAAGATTGACCACTGAAGAAATAAGATAAAAGAAAAACTTCAGGACAATTGAAGGGGAGACAATGTAACCTAAATGAAGTAATATTTGTGCCTGAATTATCAAAAAACCTTTTGTCAGTGAGCTCAATTGTTAACAACGGAGGAGAAGTAAATTTTAAAGGTGATAAAGTGACAATTTTGAAAGATGGAAAAAAAGTTCTAGAAGGAGATCAACTTGAAAATGGACTTTATGCTGTAAATATTGAACAACATTTTTCAAAGCAAAATGACTCGAACCTTACCTTACCAAGTGAAAACAAAACCCAAGAATGGCACAGAAAATTGGGACACATTGGAATGCAGAATCTAAGAAAACTTGAAAGTTTGGTTGATGGTATGGAGCTTAACAAATTGGAAAAACAGGAAAATGATGTGTGCGAAATTTGCATCATGGCAAAGCAAACTAGGAAGTCATTTGGAAATGAAAGATCTAGAGCTACCCGACCTTTGGAAATTGTTCATACTGATTTGTGCGGCCCAATAGAACCCTTAACACATGATAATAAGAAATATATAATGACATTTTTGGATGATTATACACATTTCTGTTATGTGTATTTGCTCAGCAATAAATATGAAGCAAAAGAATATATTAAAGAATATGTAAATGAAGTAGAAAGATTTTTAAATGCGAAAGTGTCAAAATTAAGGTGTGATAATGGCGGTGAATATGCCATTACGCAAGTTAAAGAATGGTGCAAAATGAAAGGAATAATACTTGATTTTACAATTCCATATACTCCACAATTGAATGGAAAAGCAGAAAGGTTGAATCGAACTCTGATTGAAAAAACCAGAGCACTTTTGCTGGATTCCAAATTAAATAAGGAAATGTGGGGAGAGGCCACAAGAGTCGCTGCCTATTTAATCAACAGAAGCCCTTCAAATACAGTACAAACAACACCAGCACAGATGTGGTTTGGAAGAAAGCCTAATCTTTCTAATGTAAAATTATTCGGGAGTGAAGTGTATGTCAAAAAATTGGGAAACCTAAAAAAATTGGATAGTAAAAGTGAAAAATATTCACTTATCGGATACAGTGGAAATGGATACAGATTGTGGGACATGCAGAAAAGAAGGATTATAATTGCAAGAGATGTGGTGTTTACAGGAAAACTAACAAATGAAATGACCAGTGTCATTCAGCCAAGATACAGAGAAGATCTGGATTCTGAAATAGAGGAAAGTCAAGACACTAAAATGGAATTGGATACCCATGATAAACCACAGAACTCGACCAATTCAAGATATATGTTAAGGAATAGAGAAAATATCAATAGACCTGAAAGACTAAAAGATTATGAAGTGTTGAATTCTGTTTCTGGAGAAATAGGATTGTTAACATACAATGAAGCTGTAACCGGAGTAGACAAAGAAAACTGGGTAAAAGCAATACAGGAAGAAAAGATTCATTGAAGAAAAATGAAACTTGGGATTTTGTAAAAGCTGAATGTGTGAAAGAACTCATTTATATAAAAGCACTTATTGAAGAACTTACAAATGAAACCATACTTGCTAAACTAAATATTGACAACCAAAGTGCAATGACTTTAATGAAGACAGGACAAATGAACAGAAAGACAAAACATATAGATGTTCGATATCATTTTTTGAAAGATCAGATAAGAGAAAATGTTGATGTTCAGTTTTGCCCAACCCAAGACCAAGTTGCTGATATCCTAACCAAGCCTCTGCCAAAGGAAACTTTTGAAAAACACAGATCTTCACTGCTACAGATGTTTTGATAGAGTAATTAAAACTCTAAAACATGAATTCAAGAAGGAGTGTTGAATATATGAATTCAATTTTAGACTTTAATATTTTATATAATATTGTCACTGAATAATTATTTTAAATATTCTGTGGTATATCATCATTATAATATTTCCATAGTTATCACTCCTCACGATTCTTATATATTATTACTTGAATATAAATGGTAAGATATAGTTTTGCATAAATAAACTATTTTCAATTACTAAAATCGTATGTATTAATTTATAAAATAATATAAAACCCTAAAACCTTTCTAACACTTATTACATTTTTTTTTAAATATAAGATAGAACTTTTTTTCCTTTTATTTTTTAAGATATTTTACATTTTTAGTTGCATTTTTTATTTTTTATAATAATTTTTTCATGCACAATTTTCTCCCACCTACTCTGTATTTTAATTGATTTCAACTGTGATATTATAACACTATGCGGCGCTGAGTTTGTGTATACAAAAATGTAATGCCTCGATAAAGGTTGGCGTTCAGCCAGCCGAAATATTGGCAAAATAAATATTTTTTCAAATCCAATATATGCCTTTTATTATCTAATGAATTAAGTATGGATTGCTCTATTTTCAAATTTATAAATATATAATATGCTTCGAGCAATCGCTCTTCCGCAAATATCAAATTGTTTCTTTTATTAGAACATTTATAATATGATGCACTAGCGCGCCATCTGTTATCAAAATTCGAAATTATTTTAAAGGCGTAATATTCTTTTTGAAAATAATTATTATTTATAATTGTTAGAGTCATGAATTCTAAAGGTACAAATTTATTATAGCCAAAATAATTCTAAATTTACAAAACTTCATGATCAAAAGTTAAATCACACATATTATTTGCATAATATTTAAGAAAAATATTTAAATATAGCCATCACTCAATATATAAAATCAGTATAATTTGGGTGAATATATTCACACACTATAATATTAGAAAAATTACCCCCAGGTTCCTGGAGCGTTCAAATGTTGTCAGTTAGACTTAGGACTTTTTGGTTTATCTATAATCTGGCCAAAGTTCAAGAAATTAAGTAGCGCTAAGCAGATTTATTTTCTAGAGATTTTTCCAGCGATGCCAGGCTGAGATTGGGAATTTCTAGAAAAATGGCTCTCTGAAACATTTGGTTTTGGAAATCTAAGGAGATGATCGACTTTGTTTGGTTTTCATTCAGATCCTCTTTCAAAATTTTTGCGTAGTATGCTTGTACTTTGCCATGGCCAGTTAGAAGGGTTGTTGAAGTGTACTCATGATTATTTGTAGAAAGGGGATCACATATTTTTGGCGTGGCTGTAAATCTTCTGAGATTGTTGGTTGAATAATCCATAATGAATAGGTCTGTAGTAGATTTTATGTGAATTGAGGTTTTTTTTTCGAGCAATGCTTTATGGAAGGATTGATCGAGACTGGGGTGTAAGTTAAAATATGCAGCAGGCTTTGATGTTTGGTCTGCTAGTTCACTTCTCGGAATTCTGCTGTTACCTATGATACAGCAGAGTCGTACAATGGGGTGGAATGCATATGGCAATATTATCAGAGGCAATTGGAAAGCTTTCATGTGGGAAAATCAGGATAGCTTTAGTGGCGTGATGAACACCACGAGTTCTTCTTGGAAGCTTGAACATTCGTGATATCATAGTAGACAGTTGCTCATTACGCCAAAGAAACGTCTGCATCTATTTTTTGTTTGAAAGGAAATCTACAAATTCTATTCTATATTCTATACCTGATCTCCACGGTCACCTAAAGTCTGATATTTAGCACTTTTGCATTGTTAGCTGTATTCAGCGAGTGCACAAAATTTAAGACTTATATCTGGTCTGAAAGTATATTAAAACTTGATCCCAAAAATTGAAAGAAAGTATGGAATTTTTTCTATTCCCGACCACGTTTTTATATACTAATGCTAGCCGTTCCTTCACCGGAGAAACAGCTTCTCCTATTTTTTAATTTTAAAGGAAATATACAAATTCTATTCTCTTGTCTATTCCCTACCACCAAAGCTACCTGTAAGTAAAATAATTTGTACTCTTGGATTGTTAGCAGGATTGAAATGGTCGTTATAAACCAGACTTCTACGTGGCCTAGAAGTATATATCAAAAACTAGAATATTATCCCTTTCTAAAAGTGGATCTAGAACGACAGCCACTACTAAGTTGTACACACAAATATATATTTTAAAAACTAAGTTAAATTTTAATACAGCTTAGAATTAAATGTTTTTATTTAAATACTATTCGTTACAATTATAAATTGGCGGCGTGGATGTCACTCTTGTGAAACGTCCCGCTCCAAACTTTGTGTCTGAGAAGCGATATTTTTATAGAAAGATGATCTGGCTTTTGTTTTCTGCTCGAATGAATGTTTCTCTGTTAGAATTTTGTTCCTGCGTACAAAATAATGAGCTGGTTTCACCCGTGGTCTCTGCTTTTTGGAATTTTTCCCGATATAATTTTGTATCTGATAATCTTACATGATACAGCAATATCGTCATCATCATTTTCTGACTAATAATATATAGTTTTAATAATTGATTTATATATTTTTTAAAATAGCCTATCGTCTTCCCCGTATTTTTTTACCTATGTATGGAAATTTTGGTCTGAATTAGTGAACTACTGCGAATTTGTATACCGGACATACAAACCAACAAACAAACAAACATACAAACATTCATCTATATATATAAAAATGAATGTATGTGTGTCTGTTTGTCCTTTATGCCTGACCAAACTACTCATTGGAACGCCATGAAACTTTGGGAAGTTATTTAGTATAGTACTGGGAAGGTTTCTAGCAAATAAATTTTTTGAAATAACTTTTCGCTTTAAAATAATCAAGATAAATATTCTAATTTATCTGTTATAATTCAACAATCTGCTCTAAATATTATCATGATGATACGATGATTTTGTAATGTAGAAAATTAGGAAAGACAAAATTCAGGATGACACGGCAATTTATTTGAGACAAGAATAATGATACAATTCCAAGGCAAGATACTATTCCTTTAACTTCCAATTACCGAGGGAACCAATTAATATTGATTTTATTCAACTTATCGAGTATTTTTCAAGGGACCGGGAAAAAATGTTCACTTTATCGAGAGATTCGTTAGACAAACCTTTACTCGGGTAAAACCCGGGCGAAGCCGGGTACGTCCGCTAGTTTTTATATATATAGAAGATATAATATAAATGAGTTTTAAAAATTGTTAAAAAAAAATGCATCGGCCGGGAATCGAACCCTGGCCGCCCGCGTGGCAGGCGAGCATTCTACCACTGAACCACCGATGCTTTAAAAAAATGGCCATATTTAGGTATTCATTCCATTCCGGATTAGTCCGCGTAAAAAAAAGTTCTTCAAATGAAAAAAAGAAATAGCCAAAAATACTAATCAAAATGCAGCCGAAAATTTTCCTCAGGTTTATAAAAAGCGACATGCAAAATTTGGTACCAATTGGTTCAGTAGTTTTTGAGTTTATCGCGAAACAGACAGACAGAAATTGACTTATATATATATAGAGATATATTTTTGTTAATTTCCAATCTATATATATAAAAATGAATGTATGTGTGTCTGTTTGTTTGTTTGTCCTTTATGCCTGACCAAACCACTCATTGGATCGCCATGAAACTTTGGGAAGTTATTTAGTATAGTACTGGGAAGGTTTCTAGCAAATAAAATTTTTGAAATAACTTTTCGCCTAGAAATAATCAAGATAAATATTCTAATTTATCTGTTATAATTCAACAATCTGCTCTAAATATTATCATGATGATACGATGATTTTGTAATGTAGAAAATTAGGAAAGACAAAATTCAGGATGACACGGCAATTTATTTGAGACAAGAATAATGATACAATTCAAAGGCAAGATACTATTCCTTTAACTTCCAATTACCGAGGGAACCAATTAATATTGATTTTATTAAACTTATCGAGTATTTTTCAAGGGACCGGGAAAAAATGTTCACTTTATCGAGAGATTCGTTAAACAAACCTTTACTCGGGTAAAACCCGGGCGAAGCCGGGTACATCCATACAAGAATAATGATACAATTCCAAGGCAAGATACTATTCCTTTAACTTCCAATTACCGAGGGAACCAATTAATATTGATTTTATTCAACTTATCGAGTATTTTTCAAGGGACCGGGAAAAAAATGTTCACTTTATCGAGAGATTCGTTAGACAAACTTTTACTCGGGTAAAACCCGGGCGAAGCCGGGTACGTCCGCTAGTAATATATATTATTAGAAGATTGTGTGTGAGCAATGCCTAAAGATAACTACATTTAAAAAAATGGATAAATTGGAATAATAAAAAAAAATCGAAAATGAATATATGCATTTTCTATATAAATAACAAAAAAAAAAAAAAAAGAGGCATATCCTGACAGATCACATGAGCATTATATATATACAAAGGTTGATATTCACATATATAGATATATTGAAATAAAAACATGCATGATAATATTGAAAATATATTACTGGCTTATTACAGATAAATTAATACTTTTATTGACTTTCGACAGTTTTTTTGCTTGTAATTCCAAGGAGGTTTTAGATAGGAACCTGAATATTTGGATTTTTAAATTTAAATTATATTTCATATATTAAAAAATATTCAAAATATTTTAGGAAACCAGATAAAAAATAAAGTCTTAAAGCATTAAATATATTTAGAGCGAAAACTAAAGGTTTCATAAAATGTGTATACAAGAATGATATCTTTGAATATAAATATACATTATATAAGTTTATTAATCATATCTACATAAGTGATTCTATTTACATGAGTCTGAGTATATTTTACATGTTAATCTGGCTTATAAATGACTTGAGGTTCAGGATAGTTGTTTGGGAGAAAGGTTGTCACATTATCAAATGTGGATGATTCTCCTTAATTGCCGCAACTATTTTCTTGTGAAGCAAGAAGACTTCCTCGTTCCTCGCAGGCAACTTGGGCAAGTTCCACTCACTCACTATGTCATTGTACAAGCCGCAGAGAGCCGGCGCGTCGAAGCTTTTCTGTTTGGGCCTGGATTCACCGAAGTCTATTAAGGTGGCAAAAGCGCCGTGCGTTTGAACCTGAATTTCCTCTTTATTGACCACGAAACTGACGTATGCCTCCTTGGTGTCAGAAATGAGAATGTTTTCGTCGTGTAAATCTCTGTGGACAAACCCGAGCTGCTCTGATGCAGACGCAATCGCCAGGATAACTTGTATTAGCACCGAGAGAATCTGTTCAAATGTGAGCTCTCTATTGGACAATGCAGACTTCAAGGTGGTTCCAGCATAAGCCATTTTGAATACTGCAAACAGCTGTTTGTCTTCTTCTTCATCATCATCAAAATCATCTTCGGTTGAAGAAACTTCGGGCAAACTATCGAAAGCAGACTTAGTGTCCCAAACTAATCCATATTCCTGGATTTTGCCGTAATGGCCCTTTCCACTGTTGAGGGACTTTAGTCTTTTAGACAAATTCAATTCTTTATATATGGAACTTATACTATTCTCCATGCTGCTTCCATCCCAATTTTCGTCCGAGTTTATTTGTTTCTTTGGGAGAATTGGCAAGAATTGTGTGTGCACAATTTCCTACTCACTAGAGTACCTTCAAATAATCCAAAAGAAGTACCAGCTTGTATATATCCATCTAATAAATGTTCTATCTTAGGCTTAAGTTCAATATCATTATGCAAATCACAGTCATCCTAATTTGACAAAGGTTTTATATCATGTTGGTAATCTGGATTTTAAAGCATAAGGAATATATTCACTATGTATGTGTGGGTTCTGACCCAGTCTTGAATAGTGAATAATTAGAAGTCTACCATATTTACCCAATACTATAAGTAAACTGGGAAACCGCTAGTCTTTACTTCTCGGTCCTATGCCACCAGTAGAGGTGGTTGGCGACAGCGCTTGCTCACGTACCTTGTCACATACCTGTTACATACCTTGTCACATACCTTGTCACATACCTGTTACATACCTATTACATACCTTGTCATGACTGGTATGCTGCACATGACTTGTACAGAGCAGGAGGGACAAGCACCGGTTCTGTCCTCCCAAGAGAACAACAGTCTTTGATTTTCAGACTTAAGTCTCGTCATCTACGGGCAATGATTTTCCAAAATGGTTGCAATGTTTTCCCACTATGTACTAAGTGAAATTCTCAACCTGAAACCCCAAAATGCATAATTGACTGTATTGATTCATCCATTGATGAGCTCTACTCATCCCCGGCAGACACAATCAAAAGTCTCAAGCTTTACAAGCTTGATACCCTAATATGATTGGGTGGAGATAAGAAAGAAGAAGATACCTTGTCATAAGATTGTCTTATGACAGATTATTGTCA